AAAAAAAAACATAATCGAGAAAGAAAACAAAACAAAATCTGTTTTTTCTATTGTAATGGTTTTGATGCTCTATCGCATAAAGCATGAAATTGAGAAAGTTGATATCGAATACCTTGATTTTCCATTGATAAACGTAAATTTTCATGTTCTAAAAAAAATGACACGTTCTTGAATATGTTGTTCTTTAATTCGTCTTCCATCACGTGAACGTTTCGCTGAGTCATTATTACGTGCACGTTTCTCATAATAAATAGTATCTTTTTCTTCAGTTGGTACAGTACGTGAACGTTTTTTAAATGATATTATTGAACCATTAATTGTATAATCAAGTGATGGAGATATTGATTGATTATCATCTTCATCATCACTTTGTAATTGTTTGATATTATTTGAATGTGATGATAAATCAAGACCAGTATTACAACCATTATAAGATAATAAATGTGTTGAATTAGGACTAATTGAGGATGCATTAGTACTAATGGAAGCATTCAATTGATGGTTATGTGTATAGGATAACAATGATGGATAGCCAGTTGGATATTGAATATAAGAAGTAATAGCATGCATTAATAAACTATGAAAATGAAAGATATTCGAAATGAATTTACCTCTCTTTATTATTTTTGTATTGCTCGATTGAATAATTGTTTCTACTTCGTTTATAATTATTCGTTGTTTACTTGCGTCAGACGAATAAGTTAAATATTATTTTGGATATCAAGTGTTAGCAAAGTGAAAAAAATGAACAATCGATTTTTTCTTTCTTTTCGTTTTGACCTTGAAAATTACATATATATCTCATTATTGGACAAATTCAAATGTTTTTTTTAAAAGAAAAAAGCGATTGGTTCATTTCATCACTACGATTAACTATCAAAGGAAAAATCTCTGAACAAATTGATTATATAATAAGTAACAAGCAATTTAAGCATAAGAAATGAATTGCAGCGATTCAGCTGTTCTTATTATATATCACACATTGTCTTTATCGGCATTACAAATGTGATTTCGAATTATCGATTAAGTCATCTTTCAACACATAGTGTTCAATTTAATAAGTTCTTTTATCACACATACAATTAGCCAATAGCAACATCAGTATCATAAATAAGATGAGTTCGAATTTGTATCACGATCTAATTTGTTTAGAGTAGATAAAAAATTCGTCATATGACCTGTCATGAAGACTTTTTATAATATTCACTTGAATGATTACAATATGTGATTTCGATTTTGATACATCAATTTTTCTTTTTGAATTTGACAAAAAGAAATGATGTTGGATAGCATTTGTATTTTGACTCGTTAAATAATTCGGTTTAACAGAGGTCTATTTTTCTAACAAGAAAAAAAGTTGAGTCTAAGAAATACATAATTATTTGTGGATGTTTTACGCTACAATATTCCAATATCTAAAGAATTTTATATGGAAATTCGGGTATGAATATTTTTGATCACCAAAAAAAAGATACCATTGACAACCAAATTGTTTTATTGCGAAATGATCACCAAATTTATAATGATAAATAGATAATAC